ATACCTGTGACATTTCACACATCAGAATCAGAAAGATGTGTTTCTTCCTGGCATGTCTCTGAAACGTGTGGCCTCCTTTGTGGCATCTTATATACTGACTGTGAGTTCTGGTCCAGTTCCCTGGCTTGCTAAACCCCAAAACCTTGGAGCAGTTTTCCCCTGAAACTCTTTGAAGTGATCTACTGATCAGTTAGAGATTTTTTTTTTCACTCTTGGTAGTTTGTAAATATAGTTAAGCATTTTTTATTATGCTTTTTAATTCCCACTGAACACTTTACAAATGCTCCATAACTTGAATCCTATTTTTTTCCCCTAAAGAAGAGTTGAGATCAGCAATGGTGGTACAAGCCGGTGGTCCCTGTACTTGGGAGACTGAGGCCGGTGGATCATGAGTTCCTGGTCAATCTGGGCTGCATAACAAGTGCCAGGCGAGCCCAGCTTCATAGTGAGACTTTGTATCAGGAACAGAGAGAGAAGGAGAGAGAAAAGGGGGACAAGTTTGCAGAGGGGCGGGAAGGGAGAAAGAAAAGAAACGTTGGAAACCCCTTTGCCCAGGAGACGGGTCTTGCTCTCCAGTGGGAGTTTTGATTCTTCCCACGCCTGGTGGTGGTGATCCTCCGTGAACTCCAGCAGGTCTGTACTAGATAGATCTGTTTGACACCACAGCTGGCAATTTCTGGTACTTTCTGGAATAGGAGGCTTTTTAATCATTGAAAGCTCCCAGTTAGCAGTTGTTCAATGTCCACATTTTGAATAAACAACACTCCCATTCAGCATGGGTTGTCCTAAGTTCTGGGTACTGATTACATAAGAAGGAACCATCATCTGTTTACGGCTCCAAACCTCCCTGCTGCTTTGTGAGGCTCTGAAGTTGCTTCATTTGGATTCTGAGTTTACTTAATAAATTTTTATTTTACTGCTTTACCATGGAAAATTTCAAATAAACAAAAGACGTAGAATCGCCTAATATAATCATGTATGTGCTACCCACCTTCACCAATTACCAGGATTTGGCCATTGGAGTTTTTCTGCCCAATCGTTGTTTCTGGAGTCCTGTAAAGCAAATGCCCTCACATTATGTAGTTTCTCCTACAAAACGCTCAACACAGAAACCCAGTTCATTAGGAATTTAAAAACATAATGAACATGCTGTGAACACATCTAGTAAATAAACCACAATCCTGAAACTCATTATATCTATTATGACTGATCTTTCAATTACTTCAAAACTGTCTCCTTTATGTATGTTTGACTGACTCCTTTATGTTTGTTTGCTTAGGGAACAGGGTCTCCTTGCTTGGAACTCACCATTTAGTCAACAATGACCTTGAACTCAGATCCTCTGCCTCTCCCTCCCAAGTGCTGGGATTACAGGCGTGCTTGGGTATATGCAGTGCTGGGTTCTGTGCATGCTGGGTAAGCACTCCACAAGTAGCTGCATTCCCAGTCAGCATGTCATTATTTCTTGAACAATGCTTGAGAAACTTATTACCTCCATGAAATAGATCACTAGTTTTACCCTTAAAAATATCCCATGGATCACATCATAAGAAGTTCATGTTAAACCAGACATACTTGCACATGCCCGTAAATCTCAGCATTTGAGAAACTGAGGCAGAAGAATCATGAATTTGAAGCCAGCCTGGGCTTCATGTGGCTTTCTAGGACAACCTGAGTTGCGCACTGAGGTCCTGTCTAAAAGTTATATCAAAAATAACTATGTGATGCTAGGTGTGGTGGTACAAGCCTCCCAGGAGTTGAGAGGCTGAGGCAGGAGGGTCATGAGTTTGAGGAGAACTGGGTTGCAGAGCAAGTTCAAAGGTTCAAAACTTAGCCTAGGATGCATATCAAGATCTTGTCTTAAGAAAAAAAAAAGTTATTGAAAGATGGGCTAGAGGCTGAGTGCATGACTGGTGACGAATTGTTGGCATACAGTCAGGGAGGAAGATCAGAGCAGGCATCCCCCTGATTTTGGCTTTTCTGATGAAGAATTGTCTATGGTCACACATTAAATACAAGACAAGCCAATAAGCAACAAAAAGATCCATGAGTAAATTTATCCGCCACCACAGATAATCAAAAAATATCTTCAGGTAGGAACCGATTTATATAGATCCCCATCAGAGAGGCTTTAAAGTGGACGAGAGGTCCCAAGTTTGTGATCCATAGAAAGAAAATGAACACATGTAAGTAATAAGACTTCATGGATTTAAAAAATTAGTATAAAAGTACAAGAAAAGAGGCCAACAGCAAACTACTAGGATATTTGAGATTGTATTTGAAAAACTAACGTGTCAGTCTTGTTCAGGGGAGGTGGCCACCGCTCCCAGTGGGCTCCCACGGTGATTATCTGATATTTGGATTCGAATTTCACTCCTCGTATGCTTCATTCTTGAAAATAGCTTCTCACACATGGCGCTTCCAAGAAGTGATGACACAGATAAACATCGACTGTGAGGTGAGGGATGTTTGTCTCTAGTGGACACAGGATCAAATTTTTCTTTGAATAGAATGTCAGATTGCAGCTCAGACTGAGACAGATCACATTTCATTAATAATTTGGCAACTGAAAATAGAGTTGTAATTACACCTGAATATTGTTTTCCCAGGAATACTGAAATCTGTTTAAAACTTTTTGTACGAAATTGTCAAGCAAGGCCCTGTGCTAGTCAGTGCTCACAGGACTGTTTTTAGCCAACTTGCTGAAATGCACAAAATCGTCGCCCTTAACTGGAGCTGTCATCATTTTACCCTCATGTGGAATGCTGATTTTTTATTGTATTTTTATGAATTCTGTGAGTTTCACAATATATTTTGGTCATGTTACTCCCCTCCTGTGGCTCTTCCCAGATCCACCCCTACTCCTCCACCCACCCACCTTACTGTTTTTTCCCCACCCAGTCCAATTTCTGTTGCCCAAATACTCTTGAGTGGAACCCACCCTGGAGCATGGTTGGCCTACCAGGGCCTCACCCTTAAAGAGACTAACTCCACCTCACCCACCCACCAGCTATCGTATGCCAACAGTTCCCTAGTTATGGGAGGGACACCACACCCACCAAGCCCCTCCGTGCGGGGATTTTGTGTGGCTTGAGCTAGAGCAGGTCTTGTGTGTGCTGTTCCAACTACTGTGAGTTCATTTGTGCACCTGCCCTGTTGTGTCTGGAAAACACTGTGTCCTTGTGTTCACCCACCACCTCTGGCTCTCACACTCTTTCCACCCCCTCTTCTGTGAAGATCCCTGAGCCCTGGGGAGGGGGTGTTGGGAGGGATACAGATGATACAGATGTCTCATTTAGGGATGAGCATTCTGTAGTCTATTTAAAATTTATATATTCTTATTTTACGTGTATGAGTGTATTGCCTGCATGTGTGTTAGTGCACCCATGTCTTGCAGAGCCCATCGAGGACAGTAGAGGGCGTCTGATCCCCTGGAACTGGAGTTATAGACTGTTAGCTGTCATGTGGGTGCTGGAATTCGAACGCAGGTCTTCTGCAAGAGCAGCCAGTGTTTTTAACCGCTGAGCCATCTCTCCAGTCCCTCTACAGTCTTTTATTCTCTGCATCTGTTATGGGCGTCCATAATAACGTCCTTTTACCACAAGAAGCTTCTGTGATGCAGGCTGAGAGATGTGCTGATCTATGAGCATAGCGATGTCACCAGGAGTCATTTTAATACTATGTCCATTTCGTAGAATACTAATATCAGGTTCTCCCATAGGGCTGTGGCCTACCTAACCCTGGTTCTTGTCCCCCATAACTATGCCAGGTATGGGTTCCATCTTAGGCCTTCAATCTAAGCAGATGGTGGTTGGTTACCTTCACAACACTGGTGTGCACACCTTGCCAGGTCAGCAGCTCACACAGGTCACAGCTGCAGAAGCCTGATGATCCCTTTTCCCCTCCAGGAGCCTGCATAGCACCTTCCGGCACTGTGAAAGCCAGCCATGACAAACGTGGAGGGCTGCCGGTCACAGCAGGCTGAGTTCCTTTCTGATGTCATCTGACTTTACTACACACCCTCTCTTGCCCATCAGCCTCTTTCTCAGTAAGTTTTTTAAGAGCTTGTTTGTTGTGTTGCTGGGGATCAAACAAATAGCTGTGTGGCGGCTAGGCAAACCTTCCTCCACCGAGCCACATCCTCAGCCCTGATCAGCCCTTTTCTTACAACCTCACATTCGTGAGTTTCCATGGGAACTGCTCACACTTACACATCTGTCCCTCCAATCTGTGTGAGGGTGTTTCCTGCCCCCCCAGGTGTTGCTCTTCTATTTGAGAACATGGCTTTTCCCTGCATAGACACTTCGTTAACCATTCACCACACTGTGGTCTTTACATTGACCATCTATGGTTGTCTCTTATGTCTTGCCTCTGGCCCAGTCCTTTTCTGCAAGTTGCAGATTCTTGGCCTGACCCCTCACTGGGCATGCCTTATGACTGAACAG